GAGGACAAGGGAGGACAAGTGAGGAACCAGAGAGAATCATGTGTCCAAATAAGCACCTAGAGAGAAGAACAGCAAGAGAGAGAGAGAGAGAGAAGAGAGAGAGAGAGAAGTAAGGGCACGAGTTGGAGAGAACAAGGGGGACAAGCACGGAGACAGACAGAGGACAAGGAGCATACTGTGCCCCGGAAGCACCCAGAGAGAACAGCCACATGTGAGAGTGAAGTAGAGAGACGAGTACGAAAACAGATGGGACTTGAGTCCTGTCCCCAAAGCCACCAGAACGAAGAACACTGAGCAATGGAGAGAGAAGTGAGGAACGGGAGACAAGGAGATTCCTTTGACCGAAAGCACCCAGAGAGAAGAATCGCAATGGAGATAGAGAAGTAAGGAGACAAGTTGGGAACAGACAAGGAGACAAGTATGGAAACAAATGGGAGGCAAGAAGAATCCTTTGCCATCGAGCACCACGAAGAGTATCCTGTGCCCAGAAGCACCCAGGAAGAAGAACAGTAACAGTGAGGGACAAAAAGAAATGAAGAGAGGAGACTGCAAGAAGGCGGTGACGGAAGGGACACGAATGAGGGACTCGGTAATGTTTATGGCCCCCAAAACCACCTGAAGGTCCTAAAGCCTAGACCACACAGCAAGTAGGAAAAAATTGGCTGAATAAGGACACAGATGGGAACACATGGGAGACAAGGGGAATCTTGGGTCCCAAAAGCGAGAACAACAGGAATGAGGAGAGAAGTGAAGAAAGCGCTGGGAAAGACTACAGGGACAAGGAAGGAAAGAAAGGAAAGAGGAGAAAAACTATCCTCTCCCTCCCAAATGCCGGAGACCTGGAAAGAAGCACGGTAGTGGAGAGAGAATAAGGAGACAAGTTGGAGACAAGTAGGAAGGTAAGTAGGGTAACATGTGGTAGAGACCGAGGGTAAGGGAATGTGACCTGAACAAAGGAAGAAAAGTTAAGGAGAAACACAAGAGGCCAGGAAATCCATTCTTCTCCAAGCAGCAGCAGCAATGAGGAGGGAATTAAGGATACACGTTGGAGGGAACAAGGGAGGACAAGGGAGGACAAGTGAGGAACCAGAGAGAATCATGTGTCCAAATAAGCACCTAGAGAGAAGAACAGCAGAGAGAGAGAGAGAGAGAGAAGTAAGGGCACGAGTTGGAGAGAACAAGGGGGACAAGCACGGAGACAGACAGAGGACAAGGAGCATACTGTGCCCCGGAAGCACCCAGAGAGAACAGCCACATGTGAGAGTGAAGTAGAGAGACGAGTACGAAAACAGATGGGACTTGAGTCCTGTCCCCAAAGCCACCAGAACGAAGAACACTGAGCAATGGAGAGAGAAGTGAGGAACGGGAGACAAGGAGATTCCTTTGACCGAAAGCACCCAGAGAGAAGAATCGCAATGGAGATAGAGAAGTAAGGAGACAAGTTGGGAACAGACAAGGAGACAAGTATGGAAACAAATGGGAGGCAAGAAGAATCCTTTGCCATCGAGCACCACGAAGAGTATCCTGTGCCCAGAAGCACCCAGGAAGAAGAACAGTAACAGGGAGGGACAAAAAGAAATGAAGAGGTCCTAAAGCCTAGACAAAACAGCAAGTAGGAAAAAATTGGCTAAATAAGGACACAGATGGGAACACATGGGAGACAAGGGGAATCTTGGGTCCCAAAAGCGAGAACAACAGGAATGAGGAGAGAAGTGAAGAAAGCGCTGGGAAAGACTACAGGGACAAGGAAGGAAAGAAAGGAAAGAGGAGAAAAACTATCCTCTCCGTCCCAAATGCCGGAGACCTGGAAAGAAGCACGGTAGTGGAGAGAGGATAAGGAGACAAGTTGGAGACAAGTAGGAAGGTAAGTAGGGTAACACGTGGTAGAGACTGAGGGTAAGGGAATGTGACCTGAACAAAGGAAAAAAGGCAGGGAGAAACACAAGAGGCCAGGAAATCCATTCTTCCCCCAGCAGCAGCAATGGGGAGGGGATTAAGGATACACGTTGGAGGGAACAAGAAAGGGCAAGTGAGGAACCGGAGAGAATCATGTGTCCAAATAAGCACCTAGAGAGAAGAACAGCAAGAGAGAGAGAGAGAGAAGTAAGGGCATGAGTTGGAGAGAACAAGGGGGACAAGCACGGAGACAGACAGAGGACAAGGAGCATACTGTGCCCCGGAAGCACCCAGAGAGAACAGCCACATATGAGAGTGAAGTAGAGAGACGAGTACGAAAACAGATGGGACTTGAGTCCTGTCCCCAAACCACCAGAACGAAGAACACTGAGCAATGGAGAGAGAAGTGAGGAACGGGAGACAAGGAGATTCCTTTGACCGAAAGCACCCAGAGAGAAGAATCGCAATGGAGATAGAGAAATAAGGAGACAAGTTGGGAACAGACAAGGAGACAAGTATGGAAACAAATGGGATCAGAAAGGAGGACGGTCGCATTATACCAAAAGGTCCCTGCCACATATATATATATGTATATATGTATATATATATGTGTGTGTGTGTAAATAAATACATCGTTTGTATATATTTAGATAATTCGATATATATATATATATGTATATATATATATATCGCGTATACAAATATATTGCATTTATATTTACATATTATAATATATATATATATATACTTGCAGTATACATATGCATGTTTAAATGCATCATGTTTGTATAGATGTGACGCATGCGTACACATGTGTGCGTACATAAGTGTTACACATGACATGTGCGCGTGTGTGTGTGTGTGTGTGTCATGCTGCTTTGCTCGAGAGAATACATAGATTTGCATGAGTCGCAATTTGTTTTTATCCGGGGAAAGAGCTCCATTCTCAAGCACAGGCCGATTGTGGATACCTGTGCCAACAAAGCTATTTCACAATGGCGAAATTCTCCTCCAGAGATGGCAAACAGGCTAAGCCCCATTTGTTGATTTCTTTAAATGACTTGTGAGAAGCTTGGCTGATGCCCCAAGGCATTGGAAAAAATCACGAGATTCAAAGCTGAGCGAGGCCTTGTCTTGACCAAGCTGTCAGTTGTTCACTAGGAACGACCAATCTTATCCTATCCGTCGAACCATGGTATATAACATCTTCTATCGTCAGCAGACACCAATGCTGTAGCAAATGTGTGTCTTTGTGTGCGTGGAACCCTTTCAACACGGACATGTCTCTCTTTTCTTCGTTTTCTATCCTTGTTTTTGCGCTTCCAGCTGCACTCCTTACTCCAGAAGGAACACATAATATATATATACATACATGTTTGGACGACTGTCAACCGGCACCAACCAGCAGCAAAGAAAGACAAAATTGCAGTAGCCCCACTTGGCTGGGCCAGAGCATCCAAAACTGCAAAAAGACAGGGAAACCACTCTTTATTGCGCAATTTTGCTGTTTCCCCGCGCCAGTTCGACCTGACCAGCGCAAAAATTCCAGCCATGCAAAAGTACTCCGTTATATTTTTGAATTGGATGAAATTGGATCAGGATGTTCGCATCAGACTGGACCGCCCAGCGGAAACATTCCAAGTGCGCGCGTGTGTGGGCATAACTCTGCATCAATGCGCGGGTAATTGTTATATTTGATGGGCCGGTCAGTTGCGCCTATATGTCACATGCTGGCACATGTTTGTGTTGGTTAGATGCTAACCTGCTGACCTTATAGTGCTTATGGAGAACATGTTGCAAGCAATTTTGAGGGAGCATTTTAGTGCATGATTTCTTCGCTATGCCGTTTCGCAATCGGGCCACACGGCCACTCCGCCGCCGATTGTTGCTGGCAAATGGGGAAGAACCTTGTGATTTGACATCAGTTGTGGCAACGAAATCAAGATGCGCACGTACGGGCAGAATGAATCTACGAGTAAACCAGATCTAATGTTTGAGTGCTGATGTTGCTTAGTTGCATCAGGATTATTTATATGTTTTTTTTGTGAAATGTTCACTTTTTGCTCTGGGTTTGTGTGTGCCAACTACCCGATATTGTGTTGGAAAACGCCCCCTCCCAGCACAGTCAGCTTACTGCTTAGTTGCCTCTGTCCACCGGGATTTGCCGTTTGCCCTTCAATTCCGAGCAGTTGATGGTGCTATGGACAGAGTTGGAAGTTCAACATGCTCAGCTCTCTCGCAAATGGGTTTGGCTGGGCCATGCTAGAGATTGGACATCCGTCAGATCTCTCGCAGGAAAAAAAAATTGCGATCCCCGAAGCCTTGGTTTGGAACAAGTTGCTCCCAATCGTTCCAAACCTTTCGAAACGTCAGTCTAAGGTTTAAAGTGCCCGAAGCAAATGTAGCAGCTGTTCAGCACTGTTTAAATCGAACAGCGCTACGGACGCGGTATGTTGCAAATTTGTTGTCGAAATTTAGTTTCGACAGAAATGGGTATCAGCACCTTTCCTGTGCCACAATTGCTTGATGTCAGACATTATCCTTTCTTACGTGATCTTACGTGTGTGCACTTGGCATTTTCCACATCATTTTGTTGAGGTATGCACAAATTGCTGGAAAGCATGGGACGGATCACTCCGATCATGGGTGGTCATGACTTTAATAATAACAATAATGATAAACAAACGGCAGCCTCCAAGACACATCAGAGGACCCACAGACTTGCTTCTGTCTTTGCGCATATTCAAACATTAATTTTCTTGAGGGAAACTGCAAATTGGCAGGTTTAGATTGTGGATTTTCGTGGGGTCATTAGCAATGAGGTCAGTACTGAGTAGATGGATCAATTTGGGGCCACTTGACTTGTGAAGCCTTTTGCAATTTGGCCTCGTGTCTGTGACTTTGTCCAACAGGTTGGATATCTTTACAGGTCAGGTCTGAGTCATGGTATGGATTGGGCACCAATATACGAGGGATGCTTTTCGGTACACGCTAACTTATGGATTTTCTGGAGCCAAAATGTGGGGAGATACAAAATTTAAATGATACAAACCAACAACTGCCTTGGAATGGCCGTGAGTCATGTTTTGAATGCGCAGCTTTTTGGTGAACTCAAATTCAAGCACATTGCCATGGCAACAACTCTCCAGCGTTTGATTAGTCCAAAGAGGGCCCGTTCCTCCCCACCAGGCCAGAGCAAAGTGCCAGGGTGTTCGTCTGATTGAATTGCAGACCGTCGGACCGTCGGACCTAACTCACGATCCCATCACTATTGCAGGCTGTAGCGTCAAGCGTCAACACATACCCAAAACGTTGTCCCCTGTTCTCTTGGGCCTGACAGCAAGTGGCAGCATTCCATGCATAAGTGCAGCGAATTGCACATAGATAGTGTAGGACTGTGTAGGATTGAATGTGTATATAAATATATACTATTATATACTTTGATTTATAATATACATTAACTATCATTAACTGGTATTTCTGTTACATGTATTGGGCATGCAAAGAAATAGCTGTGGTGACCGCAGTTGGCCACCGGTGGGATAACCTTCGCTAGAATTTTCCATCAGAAGTATTTTCCCTTGTCCGATCCCAGGACCCCCCCCCAAAAAGATACGAACTACCATACATATAATATACTTATAATTATACATGTGATTATAGCGCGGTGGGAAACTTAGAATGACCAAGAGCACTCGTTCGAAAAGCAAATCCCGGCCGTGGTTTTGACGTTTGAAAAAACACCGCCCATGTGCAGCAAACCTAACTGGCTGAACTTAGAATCTCTGAGCATACCCATGTAATGTGGCAGAAAAGCCGTTTATATTATACCATTATTTACCAGTAATTTTCATGGAAGCCCTAAAACATAGAATGACCATGAATGACACATTTTTTCGCATTTGGCCCCACAAAAGTGTAGCCGCGTTTTTTTTTTGCAACGCATCTCAGCAAAAATGTAAACAAAACTGAAAAGACAACAATCAACATTTTCAAAACAATATGGAACAAATGGTGTAGCCGCGTTTTTTGAACATTTGAACATGTGCGAAGAAAATGAAAACAATGACCAGAAAATATGAGCCGAAAGAATCAATCGCAGAAAAAAAATGTAGCGGCGTTTTGTCTCAGCGAAAATGCAACAAAAACAAAAGGATAACGAACATCTTCAAAAACTGATGAAAAAATGGTGTAGCCGTTTTTTTTTGAACAGTTGTGTGGACAAATCAAGAAAAGTGACCGGAGATTACAGTAATGAAATTGTATGATCAATGAGGAAAAGTAATGTGGCAGTTGTTTTTTCTTTTGTGAAGAAACATGAAAAAACATTTCAGCGAATAATGTGCATACAAATAAGATAGTTATAATATATATATATGTAGTGAAATATGGCAAACTTGATGTAGCAGCCTGTGTTTGGAAGTTTCGAACATGAAAAGAAAAGACAGGATTATGAACGGATAGTGACAAGCAAACGGAAAAGTATATACTGTATGTTCGTTTTAGATATCGCAAGGGGCATACTAAGCTCAGCCCCACCACCACATGAAAACATAATATTGACAGCAACTGGCAAATGCACAAAGCAATGATAGAACGTCAAATGCGTTGGACACATATCAAAACAATAAAAACAAACAATAAACAGTGAAAACACATCGAAAGCGAAAGACAAGAAAGAAAACATCCAAAAACAGAAAGTGAAAGGACAAAAAAGACAGCTACAGCAAACAAAAGGAAAATGAACGGTACCTGCAAGTAAAAGATCAATTACCATGAATGGCAAATGGAAAGGGAAAAACTGTATACATATATATATATATATACATACAGATTACAGCACATGCAATCTACAAACCAAAAGGGCACTCGGAGTTTGACACTAAAAATTGGAAACACACTGAAAACATAGGAAAAATGCAGACAATGAAGAGGAACAAAAGAGCAGGAATTCAACTATATAGTGTTAATGATTATTTTTATGTGATGATGATTTCCTCATTGTTCATGTATGTTGCTCATTTTGTCATGTGTTTTCAAAGTTCATGTTTTTTTGGGGTTAAACATGTTGAAAAGTGCATGCTTTCCCTATGGCATGGAAGCCACCGGACAATGCCCGTCCTTTCGCTATGCAGAACGATTATTGAAACCTCGGTTGACCCCAAGAAGGGTGCCGTTGCCTTTTTTCGGAACCTGTGCCGGGAAAACTCGAGGAAGATGGAGGGAAGAGAAAGGATAACGACATGTAAAATGAAGAAAAAAGGAGGGAACCGGAACAGGTCATTATATTAACATGCGGGAAGAAATGAAAATTCAAAGACAAGAAAGAATAATTGACAGGAACAAACCGGGAAATGAAAGGAAAACAGGATGGGAAACAAACGCGAAACGGAGGAAAATGAAAGGAAAAGAAAGGAACATGGCGTGAATGCAAGAAAAAGAAGGGATCATGCATGGAAAATGAAAAGAACAAAAGGAACAGTAATTTCATGTACTGTAAATGTATGTAAATGTAGTGTTCCATTGTGTCTTATGCTGATAATATCGTCATTTCTTTTCATGTTTTTAATTAGTTGTGATGATGCTCTTGATTTTTCATGGGTTTTCATGTTGCTCATTTTTTGGGAGTTAAACTTAGAACGCCCGGTTGCTTTGTTGAAAAGCGCATTCCTTTCCAGGGATTTTCACAAAATAGCATGAAAACCATCCGAAATAGAATGCCCGTCCTTTCGCTATGCAGAACCTTTATTGAAACCTTGACTGACCCCAAGACGGGTGCAGTTGCCTTTTTTGGGAACCTGTGCCAGGAAAGTGGAAGGAAGAGAAAGGATAATGACATGTAAAATGAGAAAACAAGGAAGGAAGATGACAGGACAAAGAAAGGGAAAAAGGAAGGACAAGGACGGGATTTTTTTTAATTAACATGCACGAAGAATATGCAAATCCAAGGACAAGAAAGGAAAATTGACAGGAAAACGCAGGAAAATGAAAGCAAGGCGGGATTCACATGCAGGAGGAAAATGAAACATTGAGGACGAGAAGGGAAAATGACAGGAAAGAGAAAAACGGGAATGAAAGGAAAACAAACTGGATGGGAAACAAACATGAAATCGAAGAACATGAAAGTAAAAGAAACGCCCATGAACCGTGAATGCAAGAAAATGTATATTATCCAATAGTAAGCCTCTATGTAATTTGGGGATTGTTTTAACCACCCATACATGGTGATATTGCGGATGGTTTTGAATCGGATTTAACCACACTACTTTGATGGAGTACACATATGATATTCATTGCATTTGGGCACAGAGGCATTCTAAGTTTAGTAGTTCTGGATCATGTTCCCTTGATTGTTCCATCATTTTGGAGTAATATGCATATGTTATTTTGGTATATGGGTGCTGAGTCATTCTAACTTTGTATGGGGGCATTCTATGTTGTACCGAATTATATCGAATTATTTTTGTTTTCATTTTTCTACCCATTCCAAGTTTCAGGCCGGTACTATATGATCAAATTATTCTAAACTCTATAGGGGTTCTAAGAGGAAGGAATGAGCAAAATTTTGTTTCGAGCGTCCATCTTGCGGGATGCTCCTTTTGTACCTAGCCCCTCAGGTGCAAAAGTCGAACAAGGCACACGGGAAACTGGACACTGCCTAGCCGCCAAGCACACCAAAGAGCTCCAGATTTTTCTTCGTCTCGTGGAACGTAACTTTGCTTGTTCCAGTGGCCCCATGTTCCCTTCAAGAGTTCCATCAGTCACCAAGGCAGCACAGCAAGTGAGATAGGCAATGGGGTTGCACAGCTAGTTGCAGTTAATGAGCAGGTCGTATCTCAATGTTCCCCGTGTTTCCCTCCACACAAGTCATACTTTGCCATGGGTTGCACAGACTTGTTTTTGATCCAGACATCGCCAATGACCCTGGCGCAACCACGTGTCGAAGCTGCCTAGGTGACGAGGGTGGCTTCACGGATTGGATGGGACGTGTTCGGAACGAGTGGCAGACCAAACTCGAGTCACTGGACGGTCAGGATGGAGAGATGGGGCCACTGCCTGAGGGGATACCTGAGACAGACGATTTTTGTGTGCCCTTAAACGAGCTGCAAAGGTCCAATGTTTGTCCCCTTTTGGGGCAATGGCATGGCGCAGGAAAAACCAGGTGCATGGTAAGTTTGTGAGCAGATGAGAGCAGCTTAGTCGCTGGCTCTTCGAGTCACTCGTGCAATGCGTTGGCCCTGCCAGCTTGATTTTGTTTCTCACCACGTGAGAACAGACTGGTATAGCTTCACCATGCTTCACCGATCCATACGCGCGTGGCTTCGCTAGTGAGTCTTCCCTTTCGAATGTAGGCTGAGATGAAGCGGTTTTAAACAGGGTTGCTCCAACCCATTGCAGTATATAAATTACAGCCACAAGGGCGGAAAAGTTATAAGTAATAATCGTATCATATTTTGCCTACAATATTATTTATCTAGCCATTTCCCGCTCTGGGGCGTGTTAGGAGCAACCCTGTCCAATCCTTGGGGACCTGGGATTGGGCCTACATGTTCTTCCTGCAGATGAAATTTGGCCCGATGCGCCGCATGCAATCCACAAGGCTTTGTGACGTGTGACAGAAGGACTCGGCTTGATGTTGACTCCTCACTATGGACAGATGACAGATGTCGCTGACGAATTTAAGGCAATTGTCATTGATTCTGGAAGAGCCAACAACTTTTGTCCTGTAGGATTCGTATCTGTGGGTGGAGGTACCTTGCTCAGATGAATTGCGCCGTCCATTGTTTTTTGCACCTGCATCAGAGAGTCTTCGGTTGGTGGCGTGGAAGTGTTCCAATTTGCTTCAAAATAGATGGTAATTACCTTGAAAAGGTAGGTTGCAATAAATATTCAAGTGCCATGTGTTTTCCATATTCCATGGGAACATCTTTCAACAAGACGTCATCATATCCGGGTAGACTTGAAAAAAATCTAGGAGTCTTCCTGGCGAACTGAGCATGTTGATGGTTGTGTCAACCCCAGATTGATAAAGCCTTGGCCGTGTTTAATAAGGGGGTACCCATTCTATCAGATGTTGTCAGTGTGTTCATATAATTATGTTATATCACTATGTTGGCATCTTGGGACTTTTGTAATTAATCAAGCAGTGGTCTTTTGTTCTGGTTGACGCTATCTATATACATTTTATTATATTACATTTTATTCTATTACTACATTATTTAGTTTTATTATATTTTATAATATATTATACTGTAAAAAAATATGTTTTTTGTATTACATTATGTTTTATTCGTAGGATGTATTGTTTTCCGTTATATAGTTTAAATTATATTAGATTATATTATATTATATTCCATTATGTTATGTTATGTTATTGGTATCACATTATTTTGTATATATGTCATATTCAGAAAATTCACCCACTCACCCACCCTTTTCATGAAGCCATCTCGGTGCCGACAGTCAGTTGACATGGTGTGAAATGGGCTAATTCAATCTTGCCCTGCAACTATTACTCTAGACTATAGACCATTTTGGAAGGGAGAAAGAGGGAGCCAAGCTAGGATGTGTCAATTTCGGCGCAGAATTCCATGAGCAACCCCAACTTCCACCGCGCTTTTGGATTGTCTCTGAATTTGCTGGAGCATTCGGGAATGGCTCAAAGATGCTCACAGTATTGTCTCCAATCTCGAGACGGTTTAGATCGGTTTAGATAGATTCGGTAATACCATGTAAAACAAACCAGTCTTGCCGTCAATTTGCTAAATTGCGGTGCTGGCACCTTGCATTTCAATGCGTTTGAACCATGTTAAGTTCAGCTGCTTTTGCAGCTGTCGCATTTGGACCGCCGGAGCGTCTTTGAGAAATCTCACTAGCTGGCAGCCGTTGCAGGCCTTGTATCAGCAATGTGCAGCATAATCTCCAAGCTTCCTCATTGCTCGCTCGACATTCTTGAAAAATTCCTGGGAGCCGAAACGAGCTGCAATCATTCACATTTTGCATTTGCACACTATATATATAATTATATATATACTATATATATGTGTGTGTGTATTATACAAAGTATGGATATGTGCAGTATTATTGTATACATTTACTTATTTGTTCAAGTGTGATACATCCATGTTTTATGCGTGTGTACACGGTTTCAGACCACAGCAACTGGCAAGCAAACCGAGGGAGCCTTTGGATGCATGGTTTGCCATCAGGCCATGCGGCCACTCTGCCCTTTTGGTTTTAGCTGGCAAATAGTGAAAGCACTTGTGATTTGACATATTCACCCCGCTTCGCGTGGGGTGGCCGCCCACACCGCAGGTTTATTTCGGTCCGTGAGAGGGGCTAAGGGTGGTTTTCCCCCGTGGGGCTCCCCAAGCTAAGAATTTTCACTTTCCCCCCCCCTGGGGGCTCCCCAAGCTAGGGAATTTTCACTTTTCCCCCCCGTGGGGGCTCCCCAAGCTAGGGAATTTTCACTTTTCCCCCCCGTGGGGGCTCCCCAAGCTAGGGAATTTTCACTTTTCCCCCCCGTGGGGGCTCCCCAAGCTAGGGAATTTTCACTTTTCCCCCCCGTGGGGGCTCCCCAAGCTAGGGAATTTTCACTTTTCCCCCCCGTGGGGGCTTCCCAAGCTAGGGAATTTTCACTTTTCCCCGCCGTGACAGCTTCCCAAGCTATGGAATTTTCACTTTTCCCTCCCTTGGATGCTCTCCAAGCTGCGGAATTTCAAATAGCTAGACAACGACGCCTAGATAGTCCCCCAAATCCCGTGTTCTTTGAATGTGTTTCCATGTTTTTGCAATGGTTTCCTTCAAAGCACGGTACTTTACACTTTTGTCGCCATAAAACCGGTCGAAAACATCATGTTCGACAATGCTTCCAATTCCCTTATCTCCCCAACCGTTGAAAATACCGCTATTTACAGTGTTTTCTTCAATTTTTCCATGTTCCAATGCCGGTAGCCAACTCCAACATATATATAAGAAATCCTTCCAAAACATTGTTTTTGACAGTGTTTTTCCAATGTTTCCAGTCAAACAGACGGTAATTTACACGTTTTTTGCCATAAAGGCAGTAAATCCTTCCAAAACATTGCTTTTGACAGTGTTTTTGTAATGTTTCCAGTCAAGCATACGGTAATTTACACGTTTTTTGCTATAACGTCAGTCCAAAACACTTGTTTTTGCAGTGTTTTCAATGCTCTGGCATCCAAAAACCCTGCAAAATCTTGCTATGTACAATGTTTTTTTCATTTTTGGCCGTTTTTCCATTGCCGGAAAGCTACCAAAATGACCCAAAATTCCATTTCAATACCCTCTTGCGCTCAGACACCCAAAAATCCTCGAAAAATGTCGAAAACACCACCGTATTCTGGTCTCGGTGCGAAACCGTTTTTGGCCCCCCCCCCCCAGCTAAAGCTGATATAGCGACTGCTATATTAACAAATGTCATTGAGCATTTAGTGTTGCTGTTTTGCCCCCCAATAAGCACGCCTTCACCGCCAAAGCGGTGTGGGCGGATTTGCTACAACAACCAATCAACATGCATACAGTCTTTGTTTGCACACTTACAAACAAAACTTACCCATGAACAGTATAGATTTTGGCTTCAGTCCTGATTTTACTTACTGTAAGTTCATTGTGGGAAGATCGACGCTTTTTGAATTGGATTTGAGCGGACCAACTAACTAACTACCCAATACTGTCCTTGGAAGTGCCCCTGCCAGCAGAATCAGCTTGGATTTGTTTTACCTTTGTCCAGGCCTCGGATTGGAGATTCGGGATTATTTCTGGAATTTTCCGTTTGTGTTTCAATTGTGCGGAGTTGATGATGCCGTGGACAGAGTTGGAAGTTGTGCCTAGCTCTTGCAGTTTGGCTTGGCTGGGCCGCGCTAGAGATTGCACAGCGTTCGAACATGCTGAGTGTCCCTCAGCATGCGCCAGATCTCTCGCCGAAAAGAAGTGGAGTTGGGGTACCCTGAAGGCCTGAAAATTGAATGGGATTGGAACAGGTTGCTTTCAACTCTCAACCATTCAAAGCATGAGTTCACGGTACGCAAGGGCAGAAATATTGCGCCATTGCAAGCGAAAGGATCAAGGAAGGTTTGCGTTCCAAATGCTTCGAAGCAGATTTGCATCTGGGGACCTCGTAGGTTTATTAAGTTATTAAGATCGAATATAGCAACATCATCAAAGCTTTCACTACATTGAAACCAATAAGGGTATGGTCAGTGTGGTCAGTGCAATGGGCGCGGTATGTCGCAAGTTTGTTGGCAAATGTTGATTTCGATGGAAATGAGTAGCACCCTTCCCCTGTCACATGCGCCGGTTCATGTCAGATCTATCCTATGTGTGCGCAATCTGAGTGCAAATGGCATCTCCCGTATCATTTGGTTGCGATGAACATTCATTTCTAGAAAGCATGGATCTCTTGGAGAGTGGCATGGTCATGATGTTCATGGGTATGCGGAAGCCAGCAAAAACATGATTCGACCCAGAGGCTTGCTTCTCTAAACCCGCTCAGGATATGAGTGTCTCGAACATAATGGTTCCTTTTTCTTTCCACCAAACTGTTTTAGTTGGTGGTTTGGGATCGCAGCCGCCCCTTACGACTGGTTTCGCAGTACTATAGGGCATGCAAAAAATATTGAAAATCCCAAGCCATAACTTTCAATCAGGTTGTTTAAATGGAGAGGAGTCAACAACTATAATACAGATCATGTATTACCGCTAGGTGTGTGGATGAACATCCCTGAAATTCATTCATGAAATCACCTCAGTTTTGGTGCTCGAGCCCCTTTTGCCGCACCTATTCGGACCTCCTCTCGGCATGGCGACCAATTCCCGATCGAGCAATGGGCGGGCAGGCGCCGTGCCGTTGTCAACGCGGCGTTTTGACACTGTAGCAGCGTAGCACAACACACGATCTGGAATATAAATCCATTAAAAGGACACATGCGTAAGATAGATTGTTGAAAACATCATTAGTATCTTTGCAGATTGAACATACATTACAAATGTTTATTGAAGCATACACGACATCAGATGGATCATTGGGTAGATTGATGAGAAACATACTAAACATTGACAAGGCCAAACTTAGGGCCAGGGGTATGTTATGGCAGTTTGGCAGTTTGGCCCCGCACAAGTCAATCAGCAAAGATGTGAGTTTATTATGCAACAATGCTTGTAGAGCGTTTGGTTTGTCTATGAACTATAAAGTTCTGGACTTGGAGAATGACGGTGCAATCATGTCATTCCAAATTTAAATGATTTTAAAATCGTGAGCGCTAGCAACACTGTCAAACGTTTCAGCGTTGTCTGTTGGTGTAGTAGGTATCTTGGTGAATAGCACCTTGAATGAAGTATATATTAGAATGTGTTAAACACTGTTGAAGCCCCGACTTGGCAC